AATATTAGAGTGAGACACTCTATTATTATTGTTAGGTTATTTGAGTGAGACACTCTTATAATATATCCCCCCTTTACTTTAAGTGAGACTTAGAGTTCCCCCATTCCCATTCCTCTCCGCCATAACAATTCCTCAGTAGTGATAAATCTATAACTATAGCAGATAACAATACTCAATTTACGCTAGAATTATCAAGAATCAGCCACATCTTTTCTTTATTTTTCTTAGTGTAACTCTCCACCATTGAACAGGAAGGCAGCCTCACCAGCACCCATAGTTCAGCTTACACTTTCATTAGTTTTAGTTGTCTATTTCCCTTCCAAGCTCTATCTCCCCCGAGAAGTAGTTCCACACCGATGCCTTTAATTTGTAGATTGTCTAGTCCTGAGCTCGTTCTTACTGTGCCTAAGTCTTTGTATTCTATTGACCAGAAAATGTTGGAGTTGCAGACCATATGAGATGACGATCCCAAGTCAAGTATGAAAGAGAATGGAGATACGGAAGGTGTTGAGAAAAAGCTGCTGACAGTGACTTCCACCTTGCTTCCACTGAATCTGGGTGATCTAGATGGAAGTTGTTCAGGATGTACAAACCAGCAGTGAGCTTCATTGTGATCAGCCAGAGTGTTGTGGGCACCTCGTTGACATTTCTTGGAGCTGTCGGTAAACAGAGAAATGGGATTGATCTTGGTTCCACTTCCGCTGGCCATGGAGACGCAATCATTGGCGTAAATCCTTAGTTGTTCTAAATCCAGTTCAGGCGAGATGTTCTTGTCGGAGTGTGTAATTCTTTCAGACACGTTATCTAATGCAGGGGGCAGTTTATCAAGAATGAGATATGTCAGGATATCATCTGGTAGATCAATGCCTATTTCGTGGAATCTGGCAAGAGTAGTTTTAACGTTGGTGATGAATCCAGTGATGTCATTGATGTTAAACTTGAGTCGGAGTAACTCTTTGAAGACTCTAGCTCGGTTTGATGGCTGGGAAGATGCAAAGAATTCCATGATCGAAGCCCAGATGAGACGTGAATCTTTCTTGTTTTGGTGATTGATCACGTTATTGTGAATGCTTGGATTGAGTTTGGAAGTTAAGACTGTTCTTAATTGAACGTCTTGAAAAGCTTTCAAAACACCTTTAGGATCCGTAAGAGGTTTTCTTAGTTCCTGGAGATCGAGTAGATTTTCGACTCGATTCCTCCAAAGAGTAAAGTTGTCCATAGTTAAAAGCGGGATGGCTTCAATAGCGGTTTTGAGAATAGTACCGTTGAGCTTATCCATTTCGGTTGCAGTAGTTGTCGTAGCAGGTTTCTGGTCCGTTGATTTGATTTCTTCACTTTGCATTGATTAGCGTCGGTTTCGACTGTTAATCGTGATGAATCTTGGATTTATTGCTAAAATACGGAACCAGAACTGCGAAGAGGAGTAACAGTTAAAAGAAGATCAAGAAAATGAAAGGAGAAATTGGGCATACCCTGAGAATGTTTTTAGAGAGAATAACAGACAACTATAAGAGGATTTTGTTAAGAGTGATGGACAGAGTGGAACAAGAACTGTAGGAAAGATGTCAGCAAAAAGGATTGAGGTGAATTGGTTGTTTGTCTTTGTTGATTTCTCACCGGATTGAAGGACAGCTTAAGGCATGGCAGGGAGAGGGAGAAAGATAATTGGTGTGGTGGGGAAGGCGGGATATTGTTGGCACGGCGGAAGTGTGGAGGGTGGAAATGGGGAAAAGACAGACATGGAAATTGGGAGTTGGGCGCAGCAACAAGTCTGCAAGTTGGGGGTGGTAGGGTTGGTGCGGGGGTATTCATGGGCCAGAAGAGCTGGTCAGCAGCATAGCGTAGTGGTTCTATGGAAGACAGTGACACAGTTGTGGGAGTTGCGGGCATCCTAGGGTAGCAGTTATACATCAACCTCCTCTTTTGACAAGACAGTGGAGTCAGATGGCGGTTCCGATGGTGATAGGGGGCGCATGGTTTGGTCTCAATGCAGTGGTGGGAGTCGCAGGCCGAGATGGTGCAGTATTGGGACAAGTGGTGCGCACACTGGGTGTGGGATCCTTTGCGGGAAATGGTCAGCAAGTTTCCGGGAGGGAGTTATCAGTTGGACAAATTGGATGATACCCTATTGAAGAGAAAAGCGGCGGCAGCTCATCTCAAGAGGTTTTACGCGCGCGGGTTGACTGCTTTCAATGAGACGGCTGAACCCAATGGTGGGTCTAGCGGAAGTGAGGCAAACAGTTCAGGATCTGATCAGGCCACGGAGGTTTCCGATGATGCGGAGTCACCGGCAGAGACTGAGTCTGGTCCCGAGGACCCGGATTTGCCATTGCAGAGGAGCACTTGTGTGAGGCCAATGTGGACATGGGCCAAAAGCGTCGGGGAGGATGTGGGCAATGGGGCCTTAGGACATACATTAATTTGTGAGGGGGTGAGCTAGCTGATTCACAGTCAGACTAATCTAGCCACCCCAGGATGTCAGTTACCTTAATCCGGCTTATGGCATCATTTTGCATGTGAATAGTTTTACTGGTTTTCTTTTGTTATCTCTTTAGGTGGTCGTGGGTGCGGGGAATTTTGTGGAATTCCTTCTGGGGAGCTTCAGGCACCTGTGCGGGAATGGTGGGGGCTCTCTATCTCTCTTTGGTTATCAAGGCTTCAAGGTTTCATTTTATCTTGTTTCAGGATCAAGGGCTGAAGATCTTAGTAAATTGTCCCACTCCTGTGATTGCTCCTCCCCAATTTCTGAAGAAGCCATCCCAACAACAGCAGTGGGCTGTTACTCTATGCTATACTATTTTGGAACTATGCGTTAGCATAGCAGCCTATTTTGTTTAGCCCATTTCCCATGGCGTTGGCAGTTTTTTTCTTCCGCAAAAATGTAACTGTAGCATAGTGGAAAAACCCGGCCCAACACTTCCAGGGAGTGTTAGTGGAAGAGAAATATTAGCGTAGCAGATTGTCCACTAATCAATTTGTTGACCACCCAGTAGCATAGCGGAACCCTTCTACACTAAGCTACACTATGGCTGTAGTGCATACGGGCTTTCTGGGGAGAGATTCCAAAGAGGTAAGTAACCTCTTTGATGGGAGGGAATCCCTCCTGGGCAAAGAGGTTACATAACTCCTTTGGCCAGGAGGGATTCCTGCCAGTGTGGAACTTCTCTGGAGTGAGAAAGAGCTTGTAAGGAAAATAGTCAACTGCACTAGTAATAATTCAAGTTGAGGCTAAGGGTGCTGATATACAAGCTGCCTTCCTATGTAAATGCTGGAGGTGGGATAGTTACACTGAGAAAAAGAGAAAAGGTTGTGGCTGATCTTCTAAAGTCTCTGTTTAGCTAGACTTGGACTACTAAGGTTGGAGGTGTTGGAGGGATGGAAGGTAGTTGACTTAGTGAGTGAAGATCTCCCAGAATATAAGATTCGGAAAACCAATCCTTTGGCTTCAAACAGAAGATAACTTTCTTTAAAGCCAAAAAACATGCAGAGCTGGGTGAGCTGAGGTCAGCTGTGTAATTGATTTTTGAAAATTAAAACAAATATTTCCTCAAATTAAAATGATTAGCCCTCAAAAAACCCTCTTGTTATGGTCAAGGTTGAGAATGTAGATTGCTAACTGCAGGATGTACAAGGTGCAGGGATTGAAAGTGATCCGCAAGGTGTGGAAACCCCTGGCAATTTCCAGAAGGGGCTTGTATCTCCAAGATCATAACACCTCTAAATATAACTTCCATAGTTATGGGAGATTGGGAAGTTGGGAAATTGAGTGGGACTGAGCTGGCTGGGATGAGCTGGCAGAGCTGAATCAAGCTGAAAAAAGTTGGAAAGGGGGAGCTGGGATGAGCTCATCAGAGCTTGAGACCTGATCTGAAAAGAGCTGGATGGAGATGAGATGTGGGCTTATACTAGTTTTTTTTTTCAAAAATATAGAAACAAAACTTAACTTTTCCTGTTTGCGATGTTGTAGCGGTTTTAGGGATCCAAAAAGCTACACCAACCTGTAGTGTAGCTTGTGAAACAGCTACACTAACCTGTAGCATAGCCTGTGCAACAGCTACGCTAAAGTGTAGCATAGCTCCAGCTACGCTTACCTGTAGTA